TACATACATACATACATACATACACATATATGTATGTATGTATGTATGTATGTATGTATGTATGTATGTACGTACGTATGTATGTATGTATGTATGTATGTATGTATGTATGTATTGTATGTACACATGCATAGACACAGACATAGACAAAACAACATATACATATACATATACATATACATATACATACACGCACATAGATAGATAGGTAGATAGATAGATAGAATGGCAGAATCTAGCGATAAAACATATATAAATATAAATATATACATACGTAGGTAGATAGATGTAGATACAGATTTAGATGTACCTGTAGATGTATAGATATATACCCTCAGAGTCCCGACACCGAGACGCGCGCGGCCGAGGACTTACACCATGCTTGGGGATGCGGCCGGCTCCAACCGCGGGGCGGCAGCGGGGCGATGTCCTTAGGATCTGCGTCGACTTCGGCTTTGGTTTTCAGGGCCCCCACAGGAGAGCAAGGCCAGTGTCGAACAGAATTGGGTCTAGGGTGTAGGGTTTACAGCTGAAGAACTGCAGAGCAGGCAATGCCGGCAGTCATCACGTCCGGTTTCAAAAGGGTTTACAGCGACTCTTCCCTGCGCCCGAACAACCTCACACGTTACGAGAGTCCAGCGTAGCAAGGGCCAACAAACAAGGCAGTGCTTGCGAACTATAGTAGGCTTAACAAGAATGATCTTAATACCGCTAGTAGTCGTAATGATACGAGGTTAAGCATGAATTTCGTAATCAAGATAATCAAGATAACAACATGAATCATGTTACGAATAGTCATGATAGCAACAACGGAGTTTCATGCTATAGACGGCTCTAGCCAAGACCGCAGCGAAGCTCGAATGCTGTGCCAGAAAACCGCCAAGCAAAGGGCTCCGGAAAAGGCTTCGAAATCCTGGTTTAAGTTTTAGGGTTCAGGAAGACCCCCTAGCAAGATCCAACACAAGGATGTGCAACAACGCAAAACCTACTCCAACAAGCAAAGAAGTCTTCATAATGTGAAGGCTCATGTTGTAAGGATCGGGATACGTAGTAATCGTAAACCCTCTTTTCTTGTAGTCCTCGCCTAGTTTTTTGTAGCAGCACTTGAAATGAGAACCAGCCTAAACCCCAAACCCCAAACCCTAGTTTGTAGCAATACTTGAGATGAGAACCAGCGGCTATCAACCTTGGGAGCCAAACTCCGACTCAGTCGCAAGCCCCTGATACCAGATCCGGGGTGTCGGTAACAGTTTCGGGGTTTGGGGTTTGGAGTTTAGGGTTCAGGCCTGATGCAAAAAAGGGTTTGGGGTTTAGGGTTGTTTAGAGTTAAGGGTTTGCGGTTTCGGGTTTAGGGTTTTGGGTTTCGGGTTTGGGGTTGAGGGTATGTTTAGGGTTTAGCGTTTATGGTTTGGGTTTGGGGGCGTCGCCCAAACCCAAAGCTCCAAAGTTCCGTGTTGCTCCTTCGAGCCAGCAGCAAGTCTTCCAACACTACAGCTTTCCTGCGGGCGAACGGGCCAGACCAAGCAATGCAGGAGGCAAAGCAGCCGCGAAACCCCAGCCCCAGACCCTAGCTCTCCGACCACTGACTACAAGCCTCGCCTGCATTCTCCGAGTGGGAGAGCCGAAACCCTAAACCCGAGCCTACGGCTGCGGAGTGCAACGAGCGAGAAACCCTAAACCCCCTTAAACCCTAAACCCTAAACCCTGAACCCTGGCCGTACATCCTACACGGCAAGCCCACAGAGGCGGACGGAAGAAGGTTACGGGACAGTAGGAGGGATCTCATAAAACCCTGATACAGCCCCAAAGGTCCCTCTAAGGGTCCCTCCTTCAGGCCCCTTGAGAAGGTGTTTCAAGCATCTCAGGCTTTTGCCGCGCTTCCTTTGGGAGCTCTTCTCAGAGCACGAGGATGCGTGCGGGCCCCGTGCACGTTGAGGTGGCCGGTGGAGCTTTGTACGGGTTCTTTCTGGAGTCACTTAACGGTTTTAGGATGCCCTACAAGCGCTTTTGTGCTGATTTTGAAGGTGAATTCAGGGTCTTGTGTAGATGTGATATGTATGTATGTGCATATCTATCTACCCTACCTGCCCCACCTACCTTGCCTACCAACCTGTCTGTCTGTCTGTCTGTCTGTCCGTCCGTCCGTCCGTGCGTCCGTCCGTCCGTCCGTCCGTCTGTCTGCCTGTCTGTTTGGAGTTACACACACAGATACACATACACACGCAAATACATATGGCTATGCAACATTTACGTATGAATACATGAATGCAGAGGCAAACGTATTTATGTATCTATGTCCGTTCATGTCTATGTGAAAATGGTGTGTGATGTCTAAAAAGGACGGACGGATGGCTGGATGGATGGAAAGGTAGGAAAGCAATAGGGTAGATAGATAGATAGATAGACGGAGAGATAGATAGACAGATAGGTAGATAGATAGAGAGACCGACCCTAAACCCAAAACCCTAAACCCTAAACCCAAAACCCAAAACCCTAAACCCTAAAAAGCCACAGTGGCCTGGTCCCCGGCTGCAAGAGGCCTCGACCCGATACATGGCGGTGCACCTGCGAGTTCTTTGAGGTCCGGGGGAAAGGTTCTATGAGGGTGGTTCTTTGAGGGTCCTATGAGGGTTCTATAAGGGTTCTGTAAGGGTTTTTTGGGGGTTTTATCAGGTTTCTATAAATTCAGGGCCTTCGGCTCTATTGTTTCGCATCTTGCCTCCAGCCGGTCACCTGGTTCAGGAAGGTTTCGGGGGGAGAGGTTGGGTTAGCAATTTGGGGATTCGCAAAGCTTCGTTTGAGGGAGGAACACAGGAAAGCAAGGGGCAGGCACAAAGCCTTGCTTGAACAAGCATGTCTTTTGTCTCGATTCGGCTTGTCTGATTGATGTGCCAGGTATACAACGAACAGATCAGGGACCTACTGCAGCCTGGCGTCCAGCACTAAGATTCTTTTCGTGAGTCCTTGTGCGGGTTCGTTCCTACTTCTATTCCGAATACCCTTCTTCATTCTCGGCATACCTGTAGCCGCAACGGTGCGGTCTCCCATGAAGCACGGAAGGCATCTACGCAACAGAGCATCCCCGAAACAGCTGCTCACAACCTTGAACCTGACCCAAAGGTCCTCAAACCGAAAAATCCTCAATGCATGAGTCTGCCCTGAACCCGTGAACCCGGCCCTATGAGGCCTTGGAGGCCCTTCAACACACATCCGGCCCATAAGCCCGCTGCCAAACCCCCAAAATCGAGAAGCGCACCGAAACTCCAAAACTTTGTCTTTTGAATTGCAGAAGTAACCGTGTAAGACTTGGACCTATTGAAGCGGATCCTGCATTGAGGACTGTGGTGGCACATACTAAAACACCCTCAATCATTGCCAATATGACTCCGTTATTATAAAACTAAACGTACCCCTTAACCCTATTCTAATCATGAAGGCCCCTACATTACATTGGGAGATCCAGTCCCGAACGTTTCTTGCAATGCTTCTTTCTCACAGTCGACTTGGGTGCTGCGGCTTGCGATGCGGGTGCCAGCGAGCCCCACCGTCTCCTAAACTCAAACCCTAAATCTTCAATTAATGTTCGTCGAACCAGTGTCGCTGCAGACCTTGCCAGGCTTGTCCGAGTGTGAGTGCCAAAAACTCTACCTAGACCCTAAACCCCAAGTCAAGCTCGTGGATGCTCTCAGGGCACCTCACAGAAGCCGAAGAAGGTGCACTGTTGGGCCCTCAGAGCCCTCGGGGCATGATCGGGTTTGCGACCGAAGCACTTGTTTATGATATCATGTTAGATTATACTATACCATATTATGTTATGTTACGGTATACTGTATTTTGTCATGTTATACCATATTGCACTATATCATATCCGAGAACCTCAACGTTATGCTGCACTACTAGCATTGGACCACTATGAGATGATACTGGATGGCATCTGATATGCAGCTTTGACGTCCCTGTTAGGGTGTTAGGGTTCAATCGTGACAGCATGAATTCGGAGGCTGCTGCTACAAAGCACTCAGGGGACATTCGCGTATCTGAAGCACTTGGCGTGACGTTGCAATCCAGTGGCAAAAAGGGTTCAATCGTGGAGTCCTCGTCATTCTTGTGAAAAGGAGCCTTGAAGGGTCTAGGGTTCAGGACCCCTTCAGAGAGACTTCGTTCAAAAAGCGCCCTACACGCGACGCTCAACGCCCCACCATCTCCAGACGGTTTGTGGACAAGTGCCGTGCTCCTACAAGCCACGTGGTGCTCTAGACTAATTAAACTGTAGCCACCTTCGCGATGCTCACACTTTCCATTACTTTCCTCGCGTGTATTGCGCTGCGCTTCGACCGGCCGCTTTTGTCACACCAGGCCACCCGAAGCATGGAGCTCGTATTGAGGGGCTCACGTTGTCCTGAGCTCAGGAGACGGGTTGGAGCTAAAATAATGTAGTCGTGGCGAAGCTCAGCTCTCTGATCAATGCATAAGCATGCGATCCCAGCTGCAGTAATTATATCACATCAGAACATGTTGTGTTGGGCTATGTCAGAACTCTCAAGTCTACTTTTGTGGTACACTACATGCATTCCGTTCCGCTGCACTGAACTATTATGTTCTGTCCCGTTCTGTTCGGCTATGTTATACTACATCATGTCATTTTTCGTTTAGGCATGTAGTCTAGTGCAGTTTACAGGATTATTCCAATATAGCAGAGCATAGCACAGCATAGAGTAGTATAGCATGTCGCATGACACAGCGCTGAATGTGCATGCGATCCTTGTCAGTCTACTGTCATAGAATGCTAATTAATTAGTGGGACTATACTATGTCATGTCAAGTAATCACCCTAAACCCTAAACCCTAAACTCCCTGAGCTGTTGCGGCACCTCGCTATGTACAGAATCGCGGGGATGAAATCTCCCGAAACGAGACCGGGAAAACAGAAAGTCGAAGGGAAGGGAAGTGATGCGTTAGGCTCTGTTACCGAAAGCTGACTACAGGATATCTTCTCGGCTGCTTGAAGCATACTGGCATGGTGTTCATGTTACTTTAGGTTCTGACTTGAGATGCGGCGGAGAAGTCGATGTAGCTCACATGCAGTGTGAAGTTGTTGGGGCCTCTGTCCGATCGGGGTGCACTTGGTAGCTGAATCCTTTCTGTCAACACGAGGCCCCAATAACGTCTCCAGGTCCGTGGTCAGCTCGGCGGAGGAAGTGATGGAGCTCTTGAACTTTGGCAACCAGATGCGCACCGTCGCAGTCCGGATGCCCATTTTCGACATGGGAGTTTCAGAAAGTTAGAGGGTACCTTGTCTTGGGGTCCTTCACAGCTAGGATTTTATTGTTAATCAGTGGCAATCAAGGTCCAGAATTCAGGTCCCCAAACTTTCTCACACTTCGACATGTTTGCATAAGTTTGGAGGCATGGTGCCGTCAGCGATGTGGCACCATCTCAGTCATTTAACAGCTAAGACCACTAAGCAGAGCAGTCAGAATGATGTGACACTGCAAAACCCTGAGCCCCAGGGTTTAGGGTTTAGGGTTTAAACCTTTTGCCTTGCCGGGCTTTGCCCGACAGCGAACATCAAGAAGCCCGTGAGCACAAGAACCCTTGTGCGTGTGTGTGTGTGTCGGAACCCGAGCCTCGCCTCGTTCGAGTCGCGAGAGTTTGAACCCTAGACCCTAGAACCCTAAACCCTAGCTAGGTGGGAGGCAAAAAAGAAGTGGGCCTTGGGATGAAAGAGATCGAGCCCGAATTTCCCTCTGTTTCATATCTGCGGGGGAGAGAGTTTTTTGGGTTCATGATTGTAGGAGTATGCCATTGTCTAGTTTAGCATAGTTTTCGCTCGTCTTTTAGTAGTCTAGCATAGTTTGGTATAGGTTTTGGAGTAGAGTAGACTGGCATACTGTATTGTACCGTATTGTATGTCTTTCATCGAGTTTGTAGTTCAGATGTCCGGCATAGCAGTCTGTAAGCACAACCGGAAGCTTCAATTGTGTACCCGGGCTGGGAGCAGGTCTCTGTAGCTGGGTGCCACACTTCTCAAACTATGCCCCTCAACTCTAAATCCGAAACCATAAGAACTTCTAAACCCTAACCCCTAGCCCCTAGATCATACCCTGCAGTGTGGGCTCGTCCTTGCTAAGTAGGAGGCAAAAAGCCCCTAGACCCTAAATCCCGACCACAAGACCCCTAAATAGGCCTTTCTGACCTCAGCTCTACCGTTCCCAATCTGCGCGCGTCTGTGCTCGCTCTTGTGCAAGGCCACGACCATGCCCCGACCTTACGGGGAAATGGAGGGCTTTAGGGTAGGGGTTTAGGGGTGTAGGGGTTTAGGGTTTAGGGGTTTAGGGGTTTAGGGGTTTAGGGGTTTAGGGGTTTAGGGATTTAGGGTTTAGGGTTTAGGGGAGTGGGTGGGGGGGGGCAGGGGAGGGAGGGAGGGACAAAGAAAGACCGCTCATGCCCGAGTAGAGAGTGTAAGCCCCACGACAGCCGGAAGTGCTAAAATGAAAACCTGAAGCCCCACACCATGAAACCCCTGACATCCCAAACCCCCGAATCCTCATCGATTTCGTGTTGAACTCTTATATCGGATAGAACCTTCAACAGTAGCGTCATGAGACTTATCTATGGATTCGTGCCTGCCTGTGCGGGTGTGCATGTCGGAACCCTGCATTTGTGATACGGCATACAGACCTGCCGTGCCTGGGCTTGTGATGCAGGCCAAAGAACTGTCCCGACTCTACAGCGATCCCCAGAAGCCCCGAAAAAGCAGAAACCCTCGAGTCCCGAACATCAGAGGCTCCCACAGAACCCCAAAACCTCAAACCCTGAAGCCGTAACCCGTAAAGCCCTAAACCCTGAACCCTAAACCCAAAACTCCTAACCCTAAGCCCTAAACCCTAAACCCTAACCCCTAAACCCAAACCCCTAAACTTTAAACTTTAAACCCTGGACCCTAAACCCTCCAAACTGAGGAGCCTTGCCTGCCTCGTGCGAGAGTGAGAGTCGAAACCCGAAACCCCCAACACTGCGACTTAAACCTAAACCCTAAACCCTGAACCCTAAACCCTAAACCCTCAGGGCTATGGAAAAAGGCTTTCAAAATACCCCTAAACCCTAACCCCTTAACCCCTAAGCACCCTAAACCCCTTGAGCCCTAAACCCTAAACCCGAAACCCCAAGGAACTCGCGATCCTCCCGGAGCCACGCGTTCTTCAACTTTAAGCCCGGGCCCCGGCCTGTCTGGACGGGTTCAAAGGCTTAGGGTTTTAGGGTTTTAGGGCTTAGGGTTTAGGGGTTTAGGGGTCTAGGGGTCTAGGGGTCTAGGGGTTTAGGTTTTCATCGGGGGTTTCAGAGTTTCGGTTGGTTGGGGTCAGTTTTGGGGTTTGAGGCGAGGTTTGAAAATGGTGCTTTCAAAACTGGGCTTAGGGGCTCTTGGAACTTTCGGGGTGCTGCAGGCTTCAAAAAAGGGGGGGGGTTATATTCTGTAGGGGTTCTATACGGGTTCCATTTTTCATGGCTTTTCAGCATTGGCCGCTTACAGTTTGCAGAGCATCGACCCATCGTCCTGAGGTCTGCCTTGTGCGAGTACAGCGGAGAAACCCTACCTTAAACCCTAATTACACCCTAAACTAAACCCTAAGCTCCAAACCCTAAACCCTAAACTCCAACCCTAAACCCTAAGCCCAAGAAGGAGCTACTGGGTAGACGTACTTAAGCCCTTACAGTTTAGGGTTTAGGGCTGAGGGCTTAGAAACCGCCTACCCGGCCCGTGTTCGCCCCAAAAAATCTTTGCAAGCTCACTGCAACCAACAGCGTCTAACTGCATCAAAAAACGATCCAAGGCCCAGAACCCCAAACCTTAGACCCTCACCCAAAAACGGTCAAGCGAACCTGCAAACAGTGTCGCCCGACCTGCAACTATGGAACCTCGCCTGGCATGTCCGAGTTGTGAGACCCTAAACCAAAACCCACACAAAAGCGCCCTAAACCTGAGAAACCGGATCCCCAAACCCTAAACCCTAAATCCTAAGCCCTAAACCCTAAACTCTAAACCCTAAACTCTAAACCCTAAGCTCTAAACCCTAAACCGAAACCGCCTCCCCAAACTTCTCTGAGGTATGAGCAGCTTCCAGAAGCAGCTCCGAAGGAAGGCCTCGCGCCCAGAGGTCTCCGAAGGAACCCTTCGAGGGCCCGGGGGCTTAGGGTTTAGCGTTTAGGGTTTGGGGGTTAGGTTTGAGGGTTTAGGGTTTAGGGTTTAGGGTTTAGGGGTTTAGGGTTTAGGGGTTTAGGGTTTAGGGTTTAGGGGAGGAACTTGGTAAGTATGTAGTGGCCCTTTAGATTAACATATATCTAGATTACGTAAGATGCGGGAAGTCACATATTTTGTATGATACTTGACTTACAAAGCCCCCTGCCCATCACACTCATGGCCTACATTCCGAACCGGCGCTTCCCTAAAAGCTCTCAAGATTTCAATATGTGGGCTGCCATGGCGGAGCGTGAGCAGCCAGAGATTGTGGAGCCGGACTTCAGAGGATCCTCGGGGACGAAAGAGGTTTAGGGTGTAGGGTTTAGAGTTTAGGTCTAGGTTTCGGGTTTAGGGTTTAGGGTGTAGGGTTGAGGGTTTAGGGTGTAGGGTTGAGGGTTTCTATTAGGGTTTAGGTTCCCTCATTTCTATGAACCCCTATATGGTATATGTACTTTAAATAGGTACTCTCATACTATGAACCCCCATATATGGTATATGTACCTTAAACCCCTTCAGGGTTCATTTCGTCTCTTGCAGGATGGCCAGGGGCTTGACCGGCAAAGTGCCGCGTAAGGCAGAGCCTCTGAAGCGGCCCCTGCGAGACATCAGCCGCTCGCACTTGACGGAGCACATTCAGCGTCTCTGGGATCATTACAACATCCCAGAGCTCCACAGGCAGCTCTACCTCCAGCGATTCGGTTCTGATGACTACAGCTTAGATGTGCTTCACAGGGAGGTCGGGGCACTAGCAAAGGGTATAGCACCTGTGCAGCGGGCGATGCGTGCCATCGCAAATCGTGAGGAGATTCTTCTTCGCTTGGGCGTGTTGCGAGGTGCCTTTGCCGACGCCGAGTTCAGCGTCCCCGGATCTCTGGCCAGGTGCGAGCTGTCCGAGCAGTTCTACAGCCTGCGCATGGCCACTGTAGAGGCCATCCTTGCCCTGGTCGCCTGGCGCCACTCGGTGGCTCCGCGGGCAGGTCCGACGTGCATTGCAGGACCAGGCACCCGTGGAGCTAGTTGGCCTTTCACCTCGGTAAACGGCGAAAGCTGGCCCGATTACTTCATGCACATCGCAAGCAATGATGCCGCAGTGAGACGGTTCCAGAATGTGGCGGAGCTGTCAAAGGATTGCGATCCTCTTCTTGTGCATGCTTCGGTGGGCGGCGTTGGGCCCTTCCAAGGGGGCAAGCTTTGTCCACCGTGCTGCGATGCCATGCACAGGCAGAACCTGGATCGTGCGCGGCTGAGTCTCGTCGAGGAAGAGCTGGCAAGCGCCCTTTTTCACCCCGTTCGTGCCGGTACACCACAGGACAACAAGTCCAGTTCTTGGAGCACACCCAGCCCAGAATTGAGGCCGGAGGAAGACATCCCTAGCCGGCCGAGCTCCCGGCTGTTGCAGGAGCTTGCTGGTCCTCCTGTTCTGCCTCCACTGAAGGATGCTCCCACGCCCGGCGTCACGCCGCCGCCGGCGCCTGCCCCCCCAAGCCGGCCTCGCAGTGGGCCTCGCAGACGAAAGCCTACCACCACCCAGCCGGAAGAGATCCGGCCAGCCTCCGCGACGGGCTCACCGTCCAGCCGCCGAAAGGTGCGGCCGCGACGCTTGTCCATGAGTGGCTTGAAGGTGGGGCGCCGAGGGGCGCTGAAGGAGTCGATCCCCTTGTGGCGAATCGAACCAAGGTTGCCCGAGATATCACCGGGCCTTCACCTGGACTCTCCAGAAAATAGCTGCGCCACACCGCCAGATGAGGAGGTGGACAAGGAGCTTCGCGAACTCATCGCCCTTTCCACAGCCACGAAGCGGCGGAGTTTGACCGACGGCGCTGGAGTGCCCAAGTTGCTGAAGGCCCAGACTGCCGAGCCCCCGCAGTCGCCTCAGTATGAAGCCCCGGCTTGTTCGAGGTCCACAAAACCCAGCGATCTGAAGGATTCCCAGATTTCGGCACAAACCCCTCCGAGCTCGGCCTCAGATGAGGAGGCGGAGGAGGAGCCTCTGGCCCTGAAGTGCGGCGTAGATATGGCGCGGCTCCAGTCGGTGTGGAACCGCTTTGAGCATGATAACGTCATCCATCACGACGATGTTTGCATGGCGCTGCAGCGGATTGGCTTCGTCGGCCCAAACAAGGAGTGGGTGGAGGAGGCCTTCGAGAAGGTCACGATGTTCAACAATGTGAGCCGGGAGGAGTTCATGCAAATCGTTGACTATTACGACGAAAAGCAGCGTGTCCACTTCCAGGAGAAATTCATCAGCTGCGATGCTGATGGGTCAGGTCAGATGGACATCGACGAATTCGCCGAGTTTCTGCGGGGCATCGGCACGGAGCCCATGAGACATGCTCTCGAGGAGTGCATTGCAGAAATGGATGAGGACGGGTCTGGACAGTTGGACTTCGACGAGTTCTACAAGGTGATGACTCTCCTGGCGCAGCGCGAGGGCTTTTCTCGGAGCGAAGTGGTTGGCTTCGAGGCCGTGTTCCAGAAGTTCGACACCTACTCGAATGATGAAATCGACGTGAAGGAGCTGCAACAGGTCCTCATGTTTGTAGGCATTCCCATTACAGAGGAGGAGTGTCGGGAGGTGGGGGAGGAAATCGACCTGGATGGTTCTGGGTACATCGATTTCCAGGAGTTCCTCATGTGCATGCGGCTTTTTCGGGTCAGCGAGCTTGCAGACTGGAAAGGAAACCTGCAGGAGATTAGTGAAGGGAACGAGGAATCCATCCCTCCCTCACAGCTGTCGAAGCTCCTGCAGAAGAGCGGCTACTTCGCCGAGCAGGCTGTAGTGAATGAAGTGCTTCGCGAGATTGGCCTGGATCCAGCTGCCGACACCCAAATCGACCTGGGCACGCTCTGGAAGTTTCTCGTCGTCTTCCGGGCACGCGAAGGCCTGTCCTCCGCGGAGATCGCGCGTGTGCGTGAGGCCTTCCGCGGAAAGGCCAGCGGAGATGACGAGGACGAGGACGAAGCAAGAGAGATTGCCACCGACCAAATGCCACAGGTCCTCCGTGTCATCGGCTACTCCTTGGCACTGGAGGACCAGAAGCAGCTCACCGCGCAGGTGGACGTGGATCGATCTGGAGCTTTGAACCTTGGAGAGCTCTTGAAGTTGGTGCGCTTCGTCAAAGAGCGACGATCCAAGGAGATCCAGGCTATGTTCTCGAAGATTGACCCTTATGACACGGGGGTGATCTCCGAGCGCGAGGTCATGAAAGCCTTGGTGGGGCTCGGCTGCCTAAGGGATGCCGATTCGATCCCACTCGGCGTCGCCGAAGAGTCCGTGAATGGCTACGTGGGCCATGCCGGCTTCCTCAGGATAGTACAAAAGTTCGATGATCTGCAGCAGCAGCAGTTGATCAAGTCTGGGGGTTACAGTGCCGAGCAGATGGAAGCTCTCAGTCGCCAGTTCCGGTGCTATGACTGGGACGGAAGCGGAGAAATCAGCCAGAAGGAGCTTGTGGCTCTCATTGTAGACGTCTTCCCAGATATGGCTTTCGATCCAGATCAGCGCCCGCTCTTGGTGCAAATTGTGGAAGGAGCAGATAAAGATAGGAATGGTAGGCTGAACTTCGACGAGTTTCTGCAACTCATGAGAACTGTGGAAGATCTGGGCCACCTCACTCAGCTCCAGAAGGAGAGGAGGGTTATTGAGGATACTTATTTCAACACCAATGAAGTAAGCGAATTTCGAACAATCTTCCTGGCGCGGACGAAGGGGCAGCCTCGGATGTCACTGTCCGACTTCAAAGAGCTTGTGAGCCCTGTGTGCCCTATGGGGGACAAGAACAGCCATGAGATCTCGGGCATGTGGCGGGAGACCTGCGGCGAAGTCACGAAGCTATGCGACTTCCCTGACTTTCTGCTCCTAATGAGGAAAATGATGGACAAAGACTTCTTCCCTATCATGAAAGCCAAGCAGCGAACCCGCAGTAGTCGCAGGGTGCTGGCACACTCCATGACAGCAGTTTGACAAGGTGGTCCTCGTCGTGCGTAAGACACGCACTGGCGTGAAGGGAGCCACCGGTAGTGTGTCAGAGGGCTGGTGTAGGAAGGTGCTCCATCTAAGTAACGATGGTAGCGAGCATGTGACAGATCTATGGCCCATATGACAAGTCACCAGCTGCATTTCTGGTGTTAGCAACCGGCACTCTGGATAGGTGTCTGCCCAAATGTGCACACACATGACGATGAAAACAGGCATAGCCGCTTCACGCAAAAAGCGATGGAGTAGCCGAGATGAGCGCTCGAAAAGCGGGCGATGCTTAAAATGTCCCGCCGGTTTGTGAATTCGCAGCAGCTCTCTTGGTTTCTTGTGACCAGCTGCTGGTGACTAGCTTGCGTAGATAGTTGAATACACCGTAATTGTTCGACAGATCATGAAGCCTCAAACCCATAAGTCGATAGACACCAATCAACCCGGACAGCTAGGCAGCTAGCTAAGGAACCAGCAAACGACCTCATAAACTACATAACTGTTAACAGCCCAGTAGACCAATTACAGTAACTAGCAAATCAACTGGGCAAGTGGATCGTGATCAGCCGTTTAAACACAGCCAGCTGAAGAACCAAGTGTGTTTATGCACCTATAGCTGTAAAGGCAACCACTAGCTATGTGCAGAACGAGTGAGCTCGCCAATACTTGCAAAACCGCCCCGAACGATAGCCGCTAGCCGATCGCCGGCTAGGCGAAATTTCGACTGGGCACTGTCATGCACAGATGAGACCAAGCTCTGCCACCCCAAGTCTGCCATAAACATACAAAACCATACAACCACATGCAATGAACGGAGGCATTCTAGAGCACAGCCTAGATACCCATCACATCGAAGTGTGCGCCAGATTGACCGCTCCCGTTTCGAGGACCCTAATATATCAAAAACATATAAAAAATATCTTTTCATCATTTAGTTATATCGTCTCGTTTGTTTTTGAACCCAGCTTCCCAAAGAGCCAGAAGCTCCAGCCTCGTGGCAGGCAGGGAGCGACGTGTCACCATCCAGGAAGCTCCCATCAGCTCCTGCCAAAGTCGGGCCCCTTGCTGCTCTAGGGTTTAGGGTTTTAGGGTGTAAGGGTGTAGGGGTGGTGCAGAGCATGATCTGAAGTCACTGCTGTGGGCTATCAGTCCGGTCGAGATCTGACAAGGCCGTTGAAAGGGGTTAGGGTTTAGGGTTTAGGGCTTAGGGTTCGGCAGTTCCGGGCGAGAGAAGCCTGCTGCAAAAGGGGTTAGGATTTAGGGTGTGCTGCGCGTCTTCCTTCCCTGCTCAACAGCAGCAACGCTACTACGACTCGTGCTTGCATGGGTGATACTACGCGCAATCCGTACGTCTTTTGCTGGGACTACTGCGCGTACGAAAACGACTGCTGCTGCTATTGCCGCTGCTGTCACTCCTGCAACAACAACAACAACTACTGCTACTACCATTACTACTAGTACTACGCACCGCGCGCCACGGGCGCCTTTGCGCACCGTAACAATCGCAACAAAAACATGTGGTATTTACATTACTCGAAATTCTTGCCCCAACTACTTGTGTGAGAGCCAAGTTGTGCGTTTTTGTGCTTTTTCCGAGGATGGCTGCTGTCCTCCGAACGACGTTATTTACATCATGTTGTGCTTTCCGATGTTGTCCGAATAGCAGCAAACAGCGGTATTTGCGATGTCTTGTGCTTTTGCACAAAGCAGTCTTGTTCCGGAGATAAAGACACGAGGTCGGCTAAGGGGCGAACTTTGTTCCCACACACTTCACGAGTGCTAGAAATGTGCGTTTCGTGTGTACTACTACTACTACTACTACTACTACTACTACTACTACTACTGCTCTGCTGCTGCTACTACTACTATTACTACTACTACTACTACTACTACTACTGCTGCTACTACTACTACTACTACTGCTACTACTACTCCTAAGTTGAAGATTTACGGCCCTTCTTC